TTTTTTTGGCTGTCTGATAAAATTAGCAGAAAGAGTAATCTACATTAACGAAAGCGTGCCACTTTTTGTAGTTAAGGTGCAAATTGATGTTTATATTACCGATTTGAACAAGTTCAAAATAATTTATAAGAGGGGTGTAAAAGTAACGATACTAGGTAGAAGTTGTGGCTCATAAACTTCAGTTTGTGCTACTTTTTCTTTAATATTTTATCAATGTCTTGCACAAAGTTCATGACACAAGGTTTGCTTTAATTTATTTAAGTTGTTCTTTGCCACGGATTTTGATATTTTTTTTTATCATTGTGCTGAATTATAGGCCTAAAGCAATAGCTTATTCTCAATCAGCCCATGGAATTTTCAACCCTATTTGGGCTTCCTCCTCTCTTCGGGCACATTACTAGCCCCATTCTATTTCTTATTCCAATTGATTAGCTTATTTTGGTGAGATTTGACCTTTGTCGTTTGATTTGTTATTAAAATTTGAATACCATAGCTCTAATATCATATGATAATAGAGCTATGGTATTCAAATTTTTACTGCACATCGATCTGTGTCAAGAAATTCTAGATATCAAGGTTCTAACAATAACAACAATGTTAATCCATCAAAAAATGTTGGTACAACGCAGAATCCAAATAAAAGTTTGTCTATTATTATGGTTACTCCCGATCTCGAAGAACATATTCATATTTGTTTATGGTTCTCTTATGATTCCAACTTCATTCACTCCTCTTAATGATATGTGAGAGCGATGTAATAACTTGGTGCATTGGTGGTTAGTAAATTCAGTGTCAAGTTCAATAGCACAAAGCATTTTATTCTTTCACAATGCTGAAGATGTTTGGAAAGTGTTGATAGGACAATTCATAGCAACAAGAAATTTACGCAATAAAACAAGGAGGTAATAATGTTACAAATTACTTTGTCAAATGGAAGGTGCTTTGTGAAGAATTGAAAAATTATCGACCTATTCTGCACAATATGTGTCTAGTGCCCTGTAATTGTGTAGAAATACAAAACACTATGTTATATAAACAACAAGATTACCTCCTTCATATTTTGGTTGGATTAAACAATGAATTTTCACATGTGAAATCAAATTCTACTAATGGATCCCCTTCCTAGCAATAAGACGTTTTCAATCATCTTACAACAGGAAAGGCAATGTTCTTATGGAATCATTGATGAATTCAAGGTACTAATTAATGCACTAGAAGAAATATTATTTTCTAAAAAAGAAAGAGGTTATGGTATAGGTTCTTTTAAAGTCCATAACTATTGTGGAAAAAATATCAAACTATAGACATTTACTATAAAAATAAAAATAAAACACAGATATCTTTTATTTTAAAATAAACTAAATGCATTAAGAAAAGTTTCAATTTGAGAAATAGATGATGATGATGGCAATAATAATAAATCTAACTTAAAAAAGAGAACATGTCTTTCATTGTAAAGCAATATAGAAATATCATTAATTTAATTCAAATTTTTGATACTTGAATCACTACAAAAGAAAAATTGCAAGTGAAAGAATTAACTCGTGAGCCTTCAGTCAATCATCTTGTTGTTAATAAGATTACAGATTTAGGTAATTATTTGTGTTCTATGGTGAATTCTAATAATGACTCTTGGATTATTGACTCAAGTGCTATAGTTGTATATTCATTTTACTTACGTTATCAAGCATTAATTTGACTAAAGAACAAAATAACAAAAAAACTTTTTGAAAAAGATATACACTAAATTCAATGAATATATGAACATTTCTAACATAAAAAAAACAAAAACAAAAACATATTAATCTTTTATATAAAGAGACATACATTTATGTAGAAGACAAGAGACATAAAACTAAAGTGGGAATGCAAATCAAACTAATTTTAAGAACTCATATAACTTCCTAAGCCTTAGGTAAATAAATATTAAGTTTTATCTTATTTTTCATCTTTAGTGAGTTATAAACATGACGAGGCATTAAAAAGAATAGAGTATGATATCATTGAAAAAGTAATTGTAAAGAATATCTAAGTATTTGAGAAGACTTACATGAAATACTTTGTTTGCAAGATTTATTACATAATGAAATTCTTAACAAAAAATTTTGGACTAGATATAATCTCTATACTTTGTTTGCAAGATTTATTGCAAGATTTATTTTTAATGTGAATAATCTATTCAACTTCTTTCTTTCTACTTTAATTATTATTAAATTATATATCTAGGTATGCTTAAATTATATTGAATTTTACGGACATTATCATTATAATTTTATCACAAGATCTTCTATTATGCTTGTTTATGTTGTTATTGTTATCCATTTTGGCATGTCTAATTATCTATTCCCTTCATTTATTATTTTTACTTGTGTTTCAATTTTTTATTATAATATAAAACTTCCACATTCTTTAACTATGCTCTTATTTAATTACTTTAACCAAATACTATAATCATATCTCTTACTTGTGACTTTTTTTTCACTTATCAAATTAGTGGGTTTGTGAGAAATTAATGAACATCAAATGAATAGGAATATAAATAAATATATTTTGAGTAAGATATAATAAATTTTTAAGGACACACAATAGAAAATTAAAAAACATTTTTTTTATAAAAAATATAACATTTAATATGATAAATATACTAAATTTTATATATACTGTATATCCTTAAACAGACCATAAAAGAACTTAACTTTAATTAACAAAAACTATAAAATGAAAGAAATATCAAATTAAACAATTCTTTAAAACTTTCAATATTCAAGTGATCAAGATATAATTAATTTTTCATTTGGTTTCAATATTATTCAGTGTGTATATGTAAGAAAAAAAAGTTCGTGATTCTGAATGAATATACGTGTAATGATTGTAGAAAACCTATGTATCAGTAGAGCTGTTTGTTTCCTGATTTATCTATTTATTGAGGCACACATATTTTGAAGCATCATAATATGAAAGCAACAAATTGTCACCTATTTCAGAACATCATTTGCAAGTGACCCAAAGATAAATAAATAAATAAATATATATAACTTTTTTTTTTATAAAATGTAAGACTGATTAATTCAACTTATCAACTAAATTAACTTTATAAAATATTTTATAAAAATTAAATTAATATATTTTGTATAAATAAAAATGAATATCAAATTTTAGACAACATACTAACAAATATTCAAATTATATAAAAAATAATATGCATAATAATAAAAATAATATAAAATATTTTAGTATTTTAATTAGTCAATCTTACATTATATAAAAAGTTATTAAATAATAAAAATATTTAATTTAACACATAATCTCATATTATAACTCTCAATCCTCCATCTTTCGATATACGCATGTGTTTAGAATCATGCCTAAAATTATATAGATTCAATTTTTTTAATATCATAATATTTAATTGAGTAATGTGTTTTTACTTAACTAATAACTTCTTAGTGAGGAACATTTTTATATATTTCGAGAGTCCAAAAAATAAGAGATATACTGTATTTATTGTATATTTATAAGAAAAAAATAATTATAAAGTGGTAGGCACTTAATACTCTGATAATACTTAGTTAAATGTGAAAATGACTCACAACTCACGATGGCCATAATAAATTTTGAGTGGTTGTTTGTTATTTGATGCGTGATATATGGTATCCTGTTAAATCAATACAACAATTAATTAAACCATGCTTTATAAATTTGAGGGTAGTATGTCAAATGTATATGCTAAATATAGCCACGTGTGTGTATTTAAAATTCAGTGCTTTAATATTGTCATCTTTCAAGCTGCATGCAATCAATCAACTCATGGTCAATTTCAATTTGAAGTTTGTGTTTAATTTGTTTTAATTTTATTTTGAATTTTTATGGATGATTATAAGATAACACTTTTTTTTAAAAATTAAGTCAAAGGAATGATAAAATATGTAAGTAAATTATTAGTAATTCGATTCTCACTAGTTATTTACTTGCACTTGAACCCAATATCCAATAATAACTGCGATAAGATTGAATAAATATCATTTATTAACATAATCTGTTAATTTTAAATTTAGGAGAGAAAATAAATCTTGAAAAACTCTAATTTTCTCTGTCTGCCGATCTGTCGAATCACTTATGGCAATTAAAGTCAGGAAACCAGTGACAGTTGAAGTTATTAAAGTTGTATGACAAATTTGGTGGTCACTTGATCTTTTAAACATGCAACCGACCTTATCTCCACAACCCATATTTTCTAGAGTTTCTCATTAATCATTTTTTAATGTTAGTAAATAAATATATTTAATATTTTAAAATTAGCAGGATTTTGTTAAAATAAAATTTAAAAATATTTGAAGGAATTATATATATCAAATATTTACTATTTATATATACAACATGGATCTTAACTTTTGAATGAAAATATTTGATGAATTAATTCTCTTATTTATCATAGATTGAGCAATTATTTTATTTTTTATTTAATTTTAATTTTAATTTTTTTATTTTATCCCTTAAATTTAATTTTACTTAATGTAATCAATAAATTATTTATTTTTTAATTTTATATTTAAAATATCATTTAAATTTAACAATACACCTGCATTAAAAAACTTACTAACATAAAATTAACTTTATATATAAAAGTACACGTAATTATATAATTTATTAGTATAATTATGTATACCAAAAGGTCTGCTGTAATTAATAGTTATATAATTGAAGCTGCTAACTATATTATGAAAGGTGCAGTGTCAATCAATGCTCTATCCATTTCAATTTCTGACAGTCGATAAGAGATAGTTTAAATGTATATAAAAAGAATTATCGTTTCTTATGTAAGTTTCAAAACAAATGATGATAAAAGTTTTAAAAATAATATTTTTATTACAAAAGCATGTAATAAAATAAATGTTAAAAATTGATGATAAAAAGTTAGTGTTGACATTTCTGTATTTAGAACCCCTTAATTAATTTTTGGATCCGCTCATGATTATGTCTGGCCTATATATATGCTGTGTGAGGCTACTTCGGATTCACTCTATCTCAAACCTCTTGAGTGTCTTCAACAAGCATTTTTCACTTGCAATTGGTTTCCAATATGGAATTTTCTCTCCTATCTATCCTTACTTTACTAAACGTGAGCTTCCATTTCCAAACTACGTATACTATATTGATGCATGTGATTATTATTTTTTCCACTTTTTTTCAAGTTGCAGCTTCTCTTTCCTAACCTTGAAGCTTGATATTATCTATTTCTAAATTAATAATGAATAAATCTTCTTCTTTTTTTACTTTACACATTTTCTTTCAAGCAAATCCATATTCAACTGTGATGATGATAGGGTTAACGATCGTTCTGTATTTGATTTACAGTTTGCATTGGTGGTAACCCATGCAGCCTTACCACCTGAAGTTTACTGGAAATCGAAGCTTCCCTCTACTCCAATGCCAAAAGCGATTACGGATCTCTTGCACCCTGGTCAGTGCACATAGTAGTCAAGTTCAAACCTGTTCTTTTTTCTAATTTTCATATCATACGTTACTTTCTGTGCTTCACAGTTCTAACATCAATGCTCCAAAATAGTTATTTGGAAGTGCATAGTTAGTAAATAATTTTCTTTCTTTTTTTAATGATATTTAAAAGAATAAGTGTGTGTTTAGAAAGATGAAAAAAATAGTAATGACCATGAAGCCACCTTTTATTTGTACGGCTCCATTTGAAAAATAGCCAAACTTGCTTAATAACTTGCTTGTTTCTCCTTTATAATTTCCGTTTATTGGAAAGTGATAGTTTTTTATTTCTTTAAAACTTTGTTGCTGTATTATAGGAATCCCACAAATTTTGTTTTAACTCTTACATAATCAAGTTTACATTTTTTTTTAACCATGCTCAAACAAACCTCCAAGTTTAAGAAATACACTATTTTGAATATATTTTTTAACAAATTTTTTGAGATTATCAGATTTTTAAAATGTTAAAAATAATATTTAAAATATAATTACTTTGAATTTAAAAAAATTGATTAATCGTAAAAAATATGTTAAAAGGATGTATTGCTAATATTTTTTTAAAATTTAAATTTAGAAGTTTTTAATTTATTAATTCCGTCAGTAAGTTAATAAATTATTTAAAAGTTAACTTTTCAAAAATATTTCTTAAGTGAGATTTAGTTTCTAAACTTTATTTATCAACAATTTATCTATTATTTTTATTCTTAATTTTTTAAATAATTTATTATTAACTTAGTTTTTTATTATTTAATTAATTGATCCTTTTGAACAAGTAATTATTTAATATAATATATATATTAATTTTAATGATTAAGTTAATAATAAATTATTATTATTTAATTAAATTAGATTATCATAAATAAATAAGTAAAATAAGTGACTACTATTATTATTATTTTAACTTAGTTTTTTTACTTATTTATTTTTTATAATATAATTTAATTAAATAATAAAAATTTATTATTAACTTAATCATTAAAATTAATATAAATATATATATATATATATATTATATTAAATAATTAAATAATTGTATTAATATAATAGATGGCTTTATTTGTTATTGAGCACCTTTCGGCTAGTTATATGTTAATTTTATAAGAAACGGAAGAATTTAAGAAAACATGTAACATAAGTTCTTTTTAATTTGTTTCAATTAAATTTTTACTATAACATTAAAATAATTTATTTTTAACTTATTTTAATAAATTATAATTAAATTTATGATGTAGAAAAAATATTCAACAAATAATAGTTATGTATCCAAACATACCGTATAAGTATCTAATTTGACCTTGTCCAACTAACGTTATAATTAGAACTATAGTATAATTTCTTGTGTATCTTTCTTATATTCTTTTGATTTTATAAAGTAAAAACTAAATAAAAGAGGTGCATGTTTTAATGTTTTAAAAATATGAAAATATTTAATAATTAAGATGATTTATACGCATAAAATTTGAAGAATTAAAATGATTCTTATAACTGTCTAAATGTGCAGATTTGGTAGAAGAGGAAAGCACCTCTGTGGCTGTTGGAAAGGGTGGAGTGAATGTTGATGCAGGGAAAACAAAGCCTGGAGGCACATCAGTTAATGTAGGCAAAGGAGGAGTGAATGTAAATGTAGGTAAAGGAAAGCCTAAAGGCACATCAGTTAACGTTGGGAAAGGTGGAGTGAATGTGCATACAGGGAAGAAAGGGAAGCCACCAGTTCATGTTGCAGTGGGGAAAAGCCCATTTGATTATGTTTATGCAGCCAGTGAGACCCAACTGCATGATGACCCCAATGTAGCACTTTTCTTCTTGGAAAAGGACTTGCATAGTGGAAAAAAATTGAACTTGCACTTCACTAAGACCTTAAATTCAGCCGCATTCTTGCCCCGCCAAGTTGCTGATTCCATACCCTTTTCATCAAAAAAGGTGGATGACGTATTCACCAAGTTCTCTATCAAGCCAGACTCAAATGAGGGTCAGACTGTGAAGAACACCATCAATGAGTGTGAAGGGCCTAGCATTAGAGGAGAGGAAAAGAGTTGTGTGACTTCACTTGAGTCAATGGTTGATTTCAGCACTTCCAAGCTTGGAAACAATGTTGAAGCTGTTTCCACAGAAGTGAACAAGGAAAGTGAGTTGCAACAATACACAATAGCAAAAGGGGTGAAGAAATTGGGTGAGAACAAAGCTGTTGTATGCCACAAGCAGAGTTACCCATATGCAGTGTTTTATTGTCACAAATCAGATACCACTAAAGCTTATTCTGTCCCATTGGTGGGTGCTGATAGAACCAGGCTCACAGCTGTTTCAGTGTGCCACACTGACACATCACAATGGAACCCCAAGCATTTGGCCTTCCAAGTGCTTAATGTTCAACCAGGAACAGTTCCTGTCTGCCACTTCCTTCCTGAGGATCATGTTGTCTTTGTTCCCAAATAGAAAATGCGTTCCATTCCTTAATAACTACTAGCATATGCTTGATCACAATTTCATCTTATAATTCTTCATGTTATGTGTAGTTCGTAGCGTAGTTCGATCTGGCTAGATACTCTTTATACCTACTATATGTTCTGTAACGTGGCCATGATGCATTAGCACCTTGTATGTTCTTATGGTTATAATATATATGAAGGCTTTCCATTGTTCTCTTTAATTTCATTATTGCTGCTTTATTTGAAATCAGGTTTTGTTATTTTTTTGTATGTATTCTTAAAATAGCTGATAAATAGCTGATACTAACCCCGTGCTGACTTGATCAAATACAAGTTGTCAAATTAAATAAATGATATTGTAATATATCAATCGAAGACGATATAAATATTACTTACAATAATAAAGTTAAAGTTTTGTTCGATTTTGGTTTACCATGCAAATTATCATGTGTACTGTATCATTTTATGATTTTATTGTTAATCAACACATGAATTTTAAACTCATTTCACATTATTGAATTGTGCAAAAGCAACTTATACTTATAGACCAAAAGACATCCAAATTAAATTCTTAACTATTTTTTTTTCCCTTTTTCTTGCAAGGTGTTACTGAAGTCCTACTCAATAATGAAGCCAGTAATAATATTTTAATAAAAATAATTAATTAATTTATCATGATTAATAAAATGTAATTTTATACTATAAATTTATATTATTTTCGAAATATGATTTTAGTATTAATTTAAATGGTTAAATTAATTACTCATATGTTAAATAATTAAAAATATTCACTTATCAATAATATATAGGTAAATATTATTTTAATATAATACTAAATTAATTGTAGTTAGGAAAAAATATTAATTATTTTTAATTAAAATAAAAAATAGCATATAAATAATGTTATGCCCTAACTAAGGGAAAATAACTAAAAATAATAATTTCAAATCATTATCACAGAGGATGTTTAGTAGTAGAACTTGACACTTCTCCATCTCTCTCTTTCTGATTATAATTAATAAATGGCAATGGAGTCCATATTTTTTATGTTAACAAAGACAGTGACCGGTATGCAAGACTTTTTAGAAGATATTAAGCAACTTGTGAAAAAGAAAGCTCTTAATTATGAAAAAGATTGCAGTTCTAATCAGGAATATCGTATTTATAAATTTTCAAGCCTTAGATAAAATTATCAAAAAACAATGAAATATAAATGATTATTTTTATATTACTTTTAAACTTAAAATTATTGAATGTAGTTTTGTAATAAAGAACTATAAAAAAATTATTAATAGACAGTACTTGTAACAGTTGTTATTATAAAATAAAATATTATTAAAAATATAATATATAATATATTGATAACACTAAATATAATATTTTTAATTAAAAACTACTAAATATATTGATAACATTTTCAAGGATATATAAATATATTGTAGTTGGGTTGTTGGCACAGATGGGGCGGTGGCATCAAAGTTAATGGCCGCAGCAGCTGGTGAAGCCCAAAATCAAACTTTCCATACTTTATAACAGACCGTTGGGTAGTTTTGTTCTGTTTTTTTGTTTTTTCACTTAAAATTTATTTAAATTAAATTTCAAAATAATATGCGATTTAATTTAATTTAAATATAATATAAGAAGAATTAATATTTTTTAATTTATTTACATGAAAATTATTTTTATCTTTTAATAGTTATATTTATTTTTAAAATTTATTATTATTATACAACTTATCATTTAAATTAAATAAAGTTAAAAATCAAAATAAATATGTTAAAAAAATAAAAATAAATAAAATAATTTGATTAGAAGCATAAATTTTTTTAAAATAATAATAATTTTATCAATAAAAAATATGCTCAATTATAAAAATTAAAAGTTTAAAATAAATAAAAATAATATATTATACATGTGTATATTATATACAATGTTACGATAAAATTAAATAAAAATAATTTTATTATCATGATAATAATATATTATAAGTTTGATTCAATTTTAATAGTAAAAATAGAAAATAAAATTAGATATTTTTTAATTTCTAATTTGATCATTTTTTAATTTAATTTTTTATTTTTTAAATTGATTTAGTGATTTAAGAACAATTTAGTCATTTTTTTTAACTTTAATAAATAAATTTAAAAGTTATTTTGTAATGTATATTTAAAGATATATAATAAAAATATTAAATAATAAATTTTATAAAAACTAATAATATTTAATATTATTAATATACTAAATTTAATAAATTTCATAAACATTTATTATATATAAAATTTTCAGATATATTTTTAAACTCACGTTGTAAAAATTATATATTTAATTTTAGTTATCTTGTCTTAAAAATTCTTTCAATTATTTAATATTTTTAAAATAATAAAAATATTTATTTTTGATTTAATATTCTATTATAAAACAATAGAAATTAGTGTTTTTAAAAAAAATCGTTACAACAGGTTACAGATTTAAGATTAGACATTTTCTATTTCAACTAAATCATTAAATATAGGTCACTATCTCTAACAAGTATAATAATGGATAGATATTATTAATTATAAATTTAAAATATTTATTTTAATCCACCTGAGGTTTATTTTCGATGTGACTCTCTAGACTAGCTAATTCTAAAAATAATAATTTATTAACCTTAAATATTATTAAAGTAAAATTAAATCTCTAAAAGATAAAAATTTTAATTAAATTATGATGATTGAAAATTATTTTAATTTAAGATTAATTTTATATTATTTTTAATAGATATGTTTTAGTGCTTTTATCATTGTGAGAAAGAAAATATTCCAATAGAATATGTTTCATACATTAAGGTGCTTTTGTTACTTTTATATTAATAAAAAGGCTTTGTCTTTTAGTTTTTCTAGTTTAATATTTTTATTTTTAGTTATTTTAATTTTATTTTTAAATTTTAATTTTTCTTAATTTGGTATTTATTTAATTTTGAACTATGTAATTACATGATTTTGGTTCTATTATGTTATTCAAGTAGCTCAACGAATTCAAGAAATCGGTGAATTAAATTTATAAATTTTTTCTTAAATTTTATAATATAAATTATTTTTCTACAATATTTAAAAATTTAACTCAAAATTTTAGTTTAATAAATGAAGATGCAATAATTTAGATAATATTGTAACCACAAACCATACTAAGAAAATATTATTCCACCCAACCAAAGTTTTTTGATATCATTGTTGAAAAAAAATAATTTTTTTAAATAGAGAAATTATAAAACACATTCACAATACAATAATTAATATGGCAATTCCAAAATCAAAGAAGAAACTACTAATATTATTGTTTAAGGATAACAAAAAAATTATAAGGGAATTTTTTTTACAACACTTAGACTTTTCTTTTAATCATCTCACAACTTCAGTCACACACTTTTTAAAGCAAATATTCAAATATTGCACAACACTCTAATACAAGACTATCAAATACATAAGAAAGTTAAATACAAACCTAAAGCATTTTCAACTAATGCGATGTGAAACAAAAAACTTGAAACAATATATAAATTTGACCTCCTTCTTTTATAAATTTTGATAGTGTTGGACTTATTATAAAATAGTTCATTTGAACTAATTTCTATAATTTTCACCTTGATTGAAATAGATAAATCTTATAGTTTTGTTATTTAAGTGGACAATCACGTATAGTTTCAAAAACATTATCACATTCTACTATAAAAAATATACCACACACTTTACATCAACGTTCATATATTATCACCATGCACTTTGCATTAATGTCAACTAATGTTAGTGTGTTATCACCACATAACTTGTTTGTTTTTTATGGCACAAAAGAAACAAATGAAGAAAGAAAAATATACAAAATTGTGAGGAGAATAAATGAAAAAAAAATTCAACTTTACTGAATAGCAACAATACATTTATAATAATTTAAAGAAATAGAAATTAATAATATAATTAAAAAATTGATAACAAATTTGAATAAAAAATAAATTATTCCTAAAATATAAAAACTACTTATTAACTATAATATTGATCTAATAAACTAAAACAACAAAAATTTGTCACACACCAATGTTGATTCTTTCATTAAAGTTTTTTATGTCACTATTCTAAGCACTTGAAAACTTGACATTGTAGTCGTATGTAGATTGTTAATCATATATTGCACATTTCTATTTATATGAAAGAATGGACAATACTACAAAAGCATATCAAGAATGCAATATCTCATCAAACCAAAGACTCTTACTATCTCGTTGAAAATTTCCTTCAAATAGAAAAATTATAAAATAAATATAACAAAAAGAATTTGTGAAAATATCATTGATATAGAAAAATCATCAAATACATTGTGAGCATCTAACTTAATCTTGTTTAATATTAATTATATCAAATATCTTTTACTTAAATTTACCAAACATTAACACTTATTCTTCCATCAAATTTCTCTATATCACTCTTCTCAGCAGCACTTGAAAGCTTAACATTGTAATCTAACGTAGATTGTGTATTGTGTGTTACACTTTTTTCATGTAAAAGATTGGACAATACTACAACCACAACTTTTTATAAATATAATATCCTATCAAACTAAAAAAATTTAATATCATTATTTAAAAAAATGGTAGATTCATCTTGAGAATTCCCTTCAAATAGAAAAATTATAAACACAATCATAGAAAAAGAATTAATGTAAAAAACTCTAAAATTAGGGAAAGAACATTATAATCATTGTTCAAAAACAACAAAAAAATGACATTATACAAAGAAAATAAAAATTAACCTATAAACTTTTCTTAAGCACTTCATAGCTTTAGTACACACTCTCTTCAAAAGAAATATTTGAACACCTCACATCACTCTAAGATAATAGTAAAAAAATATTAAAAAAATTATATACAAATTTAAAATATTTTTTATTTGTGCAACTTGAACAAAGAATTAAGCTAATATATAACATTAACCTTTTTTTTTTACAAACCTCAACAATATTTAATTTATAAATTATTTTATTTCAATCAACACCAGCATCTCTCATGTTATCATTATTACTATTATAATAATTAATTCTATTTACTATTACTGTGAAAGACTATTATTTATATTCAATTAATTTCATGATAAATTGACGATAAAAATTTAGTAAGGATTATAATTTTATACTCTAATTATTTGTTAGATCCAAACATAGAAATAATAATTATGAATTAATTTTTATTTTGATAAAAATTTAAGTTGAGATACAATTTTATATTCTAATTCCATGTGTTTGATAATGTTATTTTAAATGCATTATTTATTTTATCCTTGTGATGGCCTTATTAAATAGGTTGTGACCCTTTTTTCTTATCCACATGTTAAGCATTTTTACTATAGTAGGCAAATTTTAAAAATAATTTTTTAAAATAAGTTACCTAAAAAATAATTTACGAATTGGGTAAAATCTATAGTAAAATGTAAACAAAACATCAAATAAAAATGTGTTATTACAAAAAAAAAAAACTTGACATATTTCATCATTAGACATATGGCTTAGCTCCAAAATGTATCACTCTAGGAGAAGCTAACACATCTCAGCATATAGTGAGTGACTTCTATTCAAAATGCATCACTTACTAGATGTTGATACTATCAATTTCTCCTTAAGTGACTCATATCTAAAATGCGTCATTATCAACATTTGGTTTTGTAGTCTTTTACTATTATAGATAAAAAAATTTAAAATATAAATAAATTATTATACCAAATTTATATTGCTCTAACAAACAAAATAAATTTAGAATATGGTAGAAGAAATTTATTGATCATACTTGTACTTTTTTTAATGTAATATTTGTTTTATCAATTTTAATTATTTAAGAAAATATTTTGTTTGTAAAGATAAAAAAAATATATTTTTTAAATATTAATATTACTTGTGAGAATTGATTTTAAGTAATAAAAATTGATAATTTTTTATTTTAACAAATATTAAATTAAAAATATAAAAGTATAATAAATATTTTTCTTTTATCGCATTCTAAACATTTTTTATTAGAGGAATATAAATTTATTATAATAATTTTTTTTGTGTTTTTTCATCTATAATAAAAAAGGCTTGTAAAACTAAATAATGAAGAGCACTTTGAATATGAATTACTAAAGAAGAAATTATAACATGTGAGACATTCTAGGAAGTGATATATTTTGAATACAAGTGAGTTTCTCCTTAAGCTACGCATTTTGAAGTTGAATCACGTGATCAACCACAACATGTGTTTGTAGTAATGCATTTCTAATATGATGTTTTGATTAAATTTTACCAATTTTGATAACCTATTTTTTAGGTAACCTATTTCCAAAGCTTTTTTTTTTTTCCCTAATGTTGGACAAAAAGCATGTCCAAAGTTACAACCCAAGCCCAAAGGGGAAAAAAATTCGGAACAAGTACACTGGTAAAGACACTAAATATATATAGTAGACAACAAAGAAGTACATCTGACATGACCAAAAAACATCAATGTACAGTTATGAGTCTTAATTGAATAATCCTAGCACTAATTTAAATGATTGGACCAAATTGGGCCTTAAAGCATTTTGATCTCATTTGAATTATTTTGACTTCTTGCAATATTTTGGCCATAAGTTTAAACATAAATACGTGATTTAGGTGTAATCTATATGTTAGAAAAGTTGAGTTCTTGTGAACTCCATCTTGGGCCAATTCGGGCATTTTAACACTGAAATTCCACGTTGAAGTTGAACCGACAGTGTTGTTGGGTACACATCATTCAACCCAAAGCTCAAATGAAGCAAATGACATGTCCTTGGAAAGCTAATTTCACGGGCATAATTTAAAAAAATGGTTAATAGGGTATAATTAGTGAGAGATTCTGATAGAAAATGACACAATATTTAAATTTACACACTACTGAAAGAAAAAGCATTAGAGGTGCCATGGTGCAGTGTTTATCCTATTCTCTTCATCTTTTCATTTTTTCTTTTCTCCTGACATTGTAATGAAGGTGTCTTGGAGTATGAAATGGAAAACAACTAACTTGTATATAAAGATATCTTTTAGATTCAGCTACATTTTTAACACTGTCCAACAAGTTTTGAAGGGGTTTAGAGTTACCTGAGCCAAAATTGTTGTCACTCTTTCACTTATTAACTACTAAATTTATGTCCCTTGATTTGGGCCATATGTTCAACCAAACGAGCCATTTACCAAACTTAAAAGCATTTTCACACATAAGAGGAACTAAAGTCGTTGAGGCAGGGGTAGTTGAATTGAAGTTACTCATAAGCTGGTTGATAATTGGTGCTCAATCGCTATTCAATATCTACTTTTGAAACCATTTAATGGCTGCAATTGAGTCAATCATTATATGCAATTGAATTTGTTATTAAGTTCAATTAAGATGTACTAGGCAACGTAATTCATGATAATTTTATCTTGATATTAATTCAATCTTTTATGGTACAACTCGAAATTCACTTCGGATGTATTGAGTTAATGTTTAGCGTACATTCCTTAAAGTCGTTAAAATGAATTTTAGCTTCTTACGTTGTCATTAAACGACATTTATTGTCAAAAGAATTTGGTGTTTAATGTTGTTGTGTAAAAATTTTAAGAAGATTATATTTGTTGAACTTATTTATACATCCATCTAACAATCCGAGTTGAGTCATGTAAATGAAAAAAATTCTTTTTCCAAATTTTTAATGCATATGCATTTTTAATAACTAAAACCTACGATTTCCAGTTAAATTATAAATGTGATATATATATATATCTGTTAATTGATCAACATATTATCGTCATTATATATGCAAACAATGTTACTTCTGACACGCATAACATTTTGTAATAATGGATGCATTTTTAAATATTAACTCTTATATATATATATATAAAAGTAAAAAGTCTATTTTATCTTTAATTAAATTTAAATATTTAATATAATTATGTATATACTATTTAAATTTAAAATTACAAGTTAAATTGAGGCTCAAATTAAAATGGGTAAGTAATTAAGTGGTGTATGAGTGAATTAGAATGTTTAAACTGTTAGATATACTTTTAAAAAAAATAATGTTTAAATTTTTACCTTTACTTAATAATAATAATAATTGTCATATATTTATGATTCAATCATCTGTAAAATTTATAAAAATAATTTTTAGACCTTCAAAAATTTATTATTTTATATCTTTATAGGATTATATTGTAGTCGTTTTTTATATTTTTTATGCAAATCTTATATATATCTTATATTTAGTTAGTAATTTTAAGAATTAAAAATTTTACATGCACTAATGGAGTTTCAATTTATAATTAAAAAAAATAATTTTTGAATTAATAAAATGTTAAATATCATTTTAGATTTTTAAGATTCTCTACAAGCTTCTATGTATGCAGTTCTTGATGTTTAAAAGTAAAATTTTTACATCCATTATCACGATCTTAGTTCATTATGAAAATTAATTTTTTTTATAAATTATTTAATGTTATTTTAGATCTTCTATATTTCTTTCCAGCATACTATTCACATATGTTTAATATGATGTTTGCAAAATTCACTTAAATTATTTTAATCTTGCTTAAGAAAAAATGAAAAAAAAGGTTCACTAAATAAATATCGCTTAAACAATAATGAATTCACAATAAAATTTAATTAACTTAAACAAACTGTGTAGACATATGAATCCTACAATTTTAGTTTAAGTAAAAAATAATGGTTTAAGAAAAAATTGACAAAATATTATATGGTCATCATTATATAAAATTAACTTAACAAATATTATAAACTTAAACAAAATTTATAAAGAATAATTTTTCTATGTTTTTTTTTTTTTTACATTTAACCATATATTTTTGGTTATTACTTCCATTTTGATTTAGTTAAATTATTTGTTGTTAAGAAATATGAAATAAATATATTTTTAAATTCAATTGATTCTATTTACAAAATAACAATTCAAAGTATGATAATACGTGAAAATATGTCTATTTAGGTTGTTAGATTTGAAAAACAAGTTTTCATGCAATAAAAAAGATTTAAAGTAGGATAAAAAAGAACTGAACAAAATTTCTAAAAAAAAATTAGTTTATTCCATTTAATCTCTTGCTTTGAACATTTCTTTAAAAATTTTAATTTTAAATTTCAACTATTTGAATTAATTATTAGAAATACAAAAAAAAAATACTTAAAATAGCTTCAGAATATTAAAAAAATAAGTTTAACAAAATATACTTAAGTTTTATATGAATAAAACAAAAATTTTAAAACAGTAATATTTTTCAAAAAGATTTATCCAAAAATAATACTTTAAAAAACTTATTTTAAATATTTAATATTTTTATTTTATAAAATTTATTAAGAATTAAAATATAAATAATATAACTTTTAAAATTTATTATAACATATCTTGTTAATTTATTTATGAATCATCGTAAATTAAAGTTAATAAATGTGATGAGAGAAATTTCATCACCATAACTTAAAAGTTAATAAATGTGATGAGAGAAATTTAGGAAATAATGACATGGCTGTCAATATGCTTACGAATTGACACAAAAATACATAACTCGTGATGATACTTTTTTTCATCTGTTTTTGCTATTTATTGTTATATTCAAACTATTAATTTAGTGTAATTAATTTACTACTCTAAATACTGATATTTATAATAGAGATTCAAACTCAACCCAATGAATGTAGTTGTGTTAAATATATATATATATATATATATATATATATATATATATATATATATATATATATATATATATATATATAAAAGTTTTGTTACTTATAATAATCTTAGTTAAAACAAAATAGCATCCAGCAAAAGATACATGTAGTCTTAAAAAAAACTCTCTATCAGTTTGTAACTATTTTATTCCCTTGGTTTTTGCCATATGTTGAACCAAACTCTACATTTAACACATTATAATCAATTCTCTTTCCCTCTCCCATCCGTTCCTTGCCCACGTAAGAGCAGCTAAAGATCGTTGATGAAGGGGTAGTTGCATGAATTGAAGTTAATAATAGTCTCGTTCATCATTGGTGCTCAATCACTATTCAACCAATCTACTTCAGAAACCATTCACTATATATATAAAGGTTGCAAGCCACTTAGCTTCTCATTCCTTCTCAACCTCACTTTATCACTTCTCCAAGTTCTAATATTTTCATATCTACACATTTGCTTTCAGCTTCACATATCCAATATGAGGTTTCATATTCTTCCCATTCTTACCTTTCTCGTGGTGAGCTCCAACTCTTACTCTTCCACTTTTGTACAAATTGTAGTGATTGTATTTTTTTCATATGTAAAATATATATTTCATCTCATATAGTAAAATTTAGCTTGTCTTTAAATATTTTTATTGATTTTAACTCTAATAAGTTTTAAAAACTTTTAAAATAGTGTCTATTATCAGTTATTAACATGACATGTCTTTAGATATTCCATGTCACCTATAATTTATATAATTTATCAGTGTAATCTGTCTTTTTCATTTTTCTATTTGCAAACTTCCAAGTCCCTATTTGCATGTGAAAATGTTTTATATAAATGAGAAACAAATGGGTTTCTGTCACGAAATGCAGGTTACGCTTGTGGCAGCTAATGCTTCATTGCCTCCTCAACTTTATTGGAAGTCGATGCTTCCCACCACACCAATGCCCAAAGCCATCACCAGTTTGCTACACTCCGGTCAGTACCATATATAGTCCAAAAGACCAATTATATATGCATACAATGTTACTTTTGAGTGTTTAATTTCAATCTCTGTCAACAATTTGGCATAAAAAAGACCAAAAGGTTAAAAACTCTTCACAGCTACATTAGTTAGAATCTTGTTAACTAATGTTTTTAAGAAATTAATAAGTACTTTTTTTATTAAAAATTATGATAAAATATATTAACAATATTTTAAATATATTTTTATTTTTAACTAATTTTCTGAGCATATTGTTAGTATTTGTCTTTTTCTTTTCACAAACTATGCACCTCAATAATTTTTGTTTTGTATTTATACATGGGATAGGTTGAGAATACAAAAGGAACACACGGCTGTTGGATAGTCCCATTGTAAAAGATACAGAAAAATATTAACGATATATTTTTTCAATAAACAAATTTTTTTATTAAATAAAATTTAGTCATTATTGCATGCTACTATCATACTATCGCCCACCGTAATTATAACACAACTAAGTATGAGAAGCAAATAAAATAAAAAAATCACACGCATAAGAATTATGGATGAGTAAAGATTTACTTCGATCTCTTAAATTGTAAATGTTTATCACTTTACTTTTATTAAAAATCTTTCTTTACATCGTGAATTTCACAATTTGTCATTCAATTCTCACAGCATTATAACGGCATAGAAACTACATGAACTATGTTAAAAACAATTATATATAAAAACTAAACTAAAACTTCTTTATAAGAAAAAAGTTAAGGAGAGTATCGAACCAAAAACATATCTTAATGTATTTCAGTAAACTGCTTTTAAGTGAAGCTTGAAAACTATGCAGATTGGGCAGAGAAAGCCACCTCTGTAGATGTAGGGAACGGTGGTGTAAACGTTGGTGTAGAAAGGGGATACCAAGGGGGTGGCACTGATGTTAATGTTGGTAATGGAGATGGAGGAGTTAATGTGAATAGAGGACAAAAAGGGAAACCAGTTCATGTTGGAGTGGGGCAATATAGCCCATTTGATTATGTTTATGCAGCCAGTGAGACCCAATTGCATGATGACCCCAATGTAGCACTTTTCTTCTTGGAAAAGGACTTGCATAGTGGAAAAAAATTGAACTTGCACTTCACTAAGACCTCAAATTCAGCCACATTCTTGCCTCGCCAAGTTGCTGATTCCATACCCTTTTCATCAAAAAAGGTGGATGACGTATTCACCAAGTTCTCTATCAAGCCAGACTCAAATGAGGGTCAGACTGTGAAGAACACCATCAATGAGTGTGAAGGGCCTAGCATTAGAGGAGAGGAAAAGGGTTGTGTGACTTCACTTGAGTCAATGGTTGATTTCAGCACTTCCAAGCTTGGAAACAATGTTGAAGCTGTTTCCACAGAAGTGAACAAGGAAAGTGAGTTGCAACAATACACAATAGCAAAAGGGGTGAAGAAATTGGGTGAGAACAAAGCTGTTGTATGCCACAAGCAGAGTTACCCATATGCAGTGTTTTATTGTCACAAATCAGATACCACTAAAGCTTATTCTGTCCCACTGGAGGGTGCTGATGGAAGCAGAGTCAAAGCTATTGCAGTGTGCCACACTGACACATCACAATGGAACCCCAAACATTTGGCCTTCCTAGTTCTCAAAGTTAGGCCAGGAGCTGTTCCTGTCTGCCACTTCCTCCCTGAGGATCATGTTGTCTTTGTTCCCAAGTAGAAATACACGAATCACGCTTGTGAAGTTCATGAATAATTAGGCAGTTTTATTACCATAGAAATGATCTATAAAACTGAATCCTAGTACTTGTATTATGTTTTCTAAATTCCCACCTCATTTGTTTTTACCTAGTGTAGTTTTAGGCATGCTATATTTGCTGATGGATTACATGTGTGCTGATATTATAGTGAAGCCTTTTCATTCGCGCGAAAAATGTCAGGTCAATGTTTTTTCACCATTTTTACTTTTTGATGTACAACAAAAAAAAGTGTGTTGGTCATGTTAAAATTTTTTTTTTTTTTATTTCATTATTTAAAAAGGAAGTGAATTGAGAATTGCATCAAATTATATTCTGGCAAGATACCATCACATTTGTATGACTGTTAAGTGGAAGAGATAAAACATGTCCGTTCCAAATAATGCAAATAAGGATAAAAACTATTTGAGCGAAGAACTAGTATAAAAAATTATGATAAAACCATTTTCTACAGTGAAAAGTTCTTTTTTCTAATAGCAAAATTTTAAAATTCATGACTACAAGCTATAATTATTTTCAAGCTTTAACTTTCCATTTTATCCTAATAATTTATCCTTTTAAATACAAAAATAAATACAACAAATAACTCGACCCTGATTTTTATAACTTTTGCCATGCGAAGTTTCTTTTAAGAACATAAATGAATTTTTTTTAAATCATTTTTCATCCAACATTTAATCATAAAACTTATTTATATAATTAATTATGATATAATGTAAACATAATCAATTACTAAACTGACAATTTTTTTAAAGCTACTTCAAATATGATCACTCGTACTTCGTTCAGAACTTCCAGTCAAGTATTTGCTATAATTAAGTTCCAAAACAAATAACAGAATTCAAAAAAATTAAAATAAAGTCTGTTCTCATGTTTTTTCCATTTGAGTAAAAATAATAATTTGAATAAAATAATTGAGTAATGTAAAAAAGAAAATACGCTTTACAACAGCTTTCAATGATAAAATGGGGAGAGATGACCACGCTGGTCATTTTTCTTCACAGCTCAGCCCGCACCCCGATGTTTGAATTGAATATATATACAAATCGACAAAATTTGTGTATTCCTATCCTATAAAAAATTGGGGAAATGAATGATAGCAGTGCTGCCACCTGCTAGGCATTGAAACTCATTTTGCTTTTTACCCAGCAAGAACTACAGATATTATACACCGCTAGCCTCGTCACAATAATTCTGTCATTGGGCACTCTTGATTCCCTTCCCTCCAACTCTCCCAATCAATTATGGTGAATCACCAGCCAACATCACCAAATACTATCTTCTGGGGTCATGAGAAAAAATCTGCTACTGCTAGCCTTTGTGCTTCAGGATTCAGCGATAAGTGTCATCCTCGAATTTGTCAGGTGCAAATGGCTCCAAAGATCCCCATGTTCTTCCAACCTTAAGTTTGACATGCAAAGGAACTGCAGAAGCATAAATGTAAATCCTGAATAGGTGATATCACCATATAAGCAGAACTCTAATTTCTTGCCAACCTTCACTCCACCCCACCCCACCCCCTAAAAAAATAAAAAATAAAAATACAAACCAACAAGTGAGACTGCATTCTCCATGCTTGTCTGTAACAGTAGGGTAGCTTCTTTTATCACAGAAGGATCAACTTCCAGCACTAATTCATCGTGTACCTAGTTAACAGTCAGTAAAGTAAGTGAAACAAATAAACAAAGAATAAGAGAATATACGTCCTCGACAATTTACCTGTAACAGAATCCGGCAACGATCTTTAAGCATGTGGAACTTGGTTGCTACTGAAGAACTGGAATCCAGGCTATCCACTCCAGTGACAATTACAGAGTAAATTCTTATCATTGCAATCTTTATTATGTCGGCAGCAGATCCCTGGGAGAGGAGAAGAAAGAGAGGAAACAACACCAACATGAATACAGAATTGCTGACAAGATCTGAAGGAAACATCCTCAATCTGGAAGAGAAAGAAAATTATACTATACCTGACAAATGGAATTCACAGCTTGTCTCTGAGCTTTTGACTTTTCTGTACTGCTGCCAAATTTTATTTTTGACAAAAACCGTTTTCTTCCCTTGAGAGTCTCCACGTATCTGGATCATACATAAAGAAATGTAATCCACAATGCCCAAAAGTGACACAAGTTAAACAAGAATGCATATACGAAGTGCTAGAATAAGTCACCTATATCATCGACAAGCACAGTTTCCAACATCGTTTGATAGAGATCACAAACAAGAAACAAACTAAAGTACAAAAATAACAAGAGACTAAAATAATTTAAATCCTACCAAAAAAATTATATTCATAGAAAGAAAGACAAAACAAAGTGGCCCAAAATAACCAATTCCAAACAAGAGTTTTCAATGCTTAAATCATCTCAGTTATTGTATCACTGCTAAAGGGATATTTGAGATACGATTTGCAAAAGTGGAGCAATGTCTCCTCACCCTTTAGTACGACAAGATGCAACAGCGGCACGAAGCCAGGAAGCAACACCAGGAAAAGAGCTTTTGAAATTAGCAATCTTTTCAGCAGCTTCATCAGAAGTGCAATCCAGTTGTTCTGCAAGGCTATTGGCACCCATACCATAAAGAATGCCATACACCATCCTTTTGGTCTGATCTCTCTCCTGAGAACCCACAGAAACCTCAGGACACCCAATCCATTTTGCTGCCATCATTGTAAAGACATCACCACCAGGCTTACTGAGAAGTTCAATGAGTGAAGAGTCTTTAGAGAAGTGTGCCATCAACCTCAACTCTATCTGAGAATAATCTGCTGTCAACAGTAACCAATTATCCTGCAACCGCAATAAATTATGAGGATAGACCACAACTATACCAAATGTAACACACAAGACCAAAATGTTGCAAATAAAATTAAATAAGGAAAAAAAGGCCTAACCAAGGCTATGTTAGGGAGCAATGGATTATTAAAGGAAGAAAAGAAAGGGAAAGTTGTCTTCCTCTACTTATAAAGTTTTAAGAGGGAAGTTTTCTTCACCTTGCTAGGGAGTATGGGTGGAAAAGAATGAAAACAGAAGATTTACTTGTGAAGTTTAAATCAAGGGAGGTAAAGGAGGGATCTTTCCCTAGTTCAGAAGTTTAACACTGGAGGGAAATTCTTTTTTTCTTGTTTAACACACACATACGAATGGTATACTCAAAGTCAGTTCCTAAATTTTGTCAAAGTATAATATTTTTCTTAAAGCTCCCACAAAAGCAAAATCAAAGAAAAGTCAATTTTGGGTGTCTAAAAATGATTCTAGGAAACAAGCACCAACTTTCAATAGTGATTATGCAGTATGCGTACAATGTTACACCAATATTTTTTTTGTCTGACATTGAGAAAACTCTTTTAAAATAATAACAGCGAACAGAAGAATAAAAGAAACAAAAAGTAAAGTTAAAGGCCTGTTACCTGAGTAGGAACAAAGAAATCACGAGCATTAATTCTAAAATAACTCTCATCAGCATCACCTTCATCTTTATCCTCTTTCATTTTGATGTCTACTGTATGCTCAACACACTGCAGTACTCCACAAGACAGTACATAACATCAAATGTCATGGACAACTATTCAAAAAACTTGAGCTATTTGGTGAAGACTCGTGAATTGTTTTATATCATAATTCTGAAATGCCCCTCACACAAGAGCCCTCTGGGATTGAGGCGTGAACAATGCACAGGTCCACCTACCTTGTGCTGAACTGAATTTAAACTTTTTTTTTTATTAGAAAAATGAGGGCAACAAGGATCCAATTCTAGACCACTTGGTGATCTTAGATACCATGTCATAAATCAACAATCTCAAAAACTTAAGTTGTTAGGTGAAGAAACATGAATGATTTTATATTATATTTCAAATATTAAATAAGTAAGCTCAAAGAAAAAAAAAGAAAGAAAACATGTTAGTAGAAGAACCCAAACCTGAAGATTAGGTTCCTCCATTGAGAGCCGGCCAGTTGCAGTGGATGTCTGGAGCCAATGGCCATGTAATGTGTATTTCTGTGTGCTTATAGATAGCCTAGCCAGAGAACATATTGATCCTAGTGTAGAGTTCAACAGCTTTGCCACTGTTCGATGTTCTTTAATTACTGGAACAATGGGATGTTGATGCCTGAAATAATAATCAAAGTTTCTAGAACACAGTTTGCAAAAAAAAGAATACAAAGGGAAGTCCCTACATGTTGTGCACAAAATACAAATTAGTATACCTTAAAATTATAAAACTTTTAAAAATCACACAAGAAATTGTGCAATTTTTGTTGATATAATCAATAATGAAATGAATCATTAGACAATAAGGAAGGTTCATTGTAACATTACTAGAAAATATGAATATAATAATATAGTTGTCAATAGTGACATTAACTACCAGACAAACAAACATTTGCAATTTCAAGGCACCAATCCTTATGAATATCAATACGTTCCAGAAAATTGTACGCAACAATCATATTGTTACATTCAGTTAGCCGATTCATATTATATCATATTGTATGCAAGGCACCATTCCTTTCCACTAGCCAACTCAATCAATATCTGAGTTCAATGATCAATGTCTTGATTCACACCAAGAAAAACTTTGGTAGCTATTACAATATATGAAAATATCTTATCATTTCTTAGGGCCTGTTCATTTTAAACCAAGAATTATTTCTCCATACCATACACAATCTTAAATGTAAAATTAGTAGCTAAGACTAATTTGAGCACATATCTCAATTATGTTCAACAATTCAAAATCAATTCTATCAAAAATTACCTTCATCCAACTTTAAAACAAACAGACACTTAGATTATCCTTTAGAATTAGTTTCCCTATTCTCTTATGCCATGCTTTGTTTCCTGTTTAGTTAACATTTGATTAGTATAAATAAGAGCTAATTCTCGAAGTTTTATGAATATGTCATCACATGGCAATACATCACATCATATTAAGTTAATATCAATTTCATGGTATTTTGTCTATGTACTTTCTATTCTCTCCTCCTATACCTAAAACCCATTATTTCAACAGCAGCCGAACAGCATATTGAGGGAAGTTGAAGAGCTTTCCATAAATACCTTAATTTTCATCTGTCACTTGTGGCTGCAAGAAGAGTGCATCATTATCAAGAAGTAATCCTAAGATGCTTGCCTATATGAAATGGCCATTGGCCAGTGTGGGACTTATCTCAGAATCCATAAGCATACAATGTTCATCACTATTAAAAACTTTTTATGTGCTTCAAAATTGAGAGAAAAACAAAGCGACAGCAAAATCAGGATGGATCAATAATGTGGTCCATCTGAATGTATAAATGATACCCTCTTTTCATCCTTTTTATGGCTTCATCTCTCTACTTTCTTTGTGTTCCTATCAATTTCTAGTGTCAGAAGAATGGCCCTTATGAAGATGATAGTCATATTTGATGTTAACTTCACTAGTCTCTCTCAAGCTTTGCGTTAATTATGTCTGCACCATGTCTAGTTTAAAATTAGATTGAGCGTCCTTATTTTAATCTTTTACAAGAGGATCAATAATGTGGTCAGTGTTATTTATTTTTCTATTTATAATCTAAAGTGCCTACTAACAAAACAAAAAAGCAAAATAAAAAGTCATTATAAGATTCTTTTAATGTGGATTATGACCTACAAAACAAAAAGGAAAAGGAAACTTGCTTAATACCTCAGTGCATCCAAACAGTGCTTGTCAGTACTTGGATGTTGTTTTCCCTTATTTCGCCCACCAGGTATGGGAAGCTTCAAGTGTTCATACAACACCTTTGCAATATCTGCTGGCATATGTAATGAAAACGTCATCCCAGCCAATTTATAAGCTTCCTTCTCAAGATGTTTTAGCCTTTTCACCAACAATTTACGAGCCTGGATGCATCTCTCCAAATCAACACCAATTCCCCAAAGCTCCATGTCAGCAAGAATATTCACCTAACATGGAAGTGTTAAAAGTAGCATTAAATACTTCAAGCATTAACCTGTTAAGATCCCACATCAGCTAGGTCTAAGGGCAGAGTATCCATGATAACAACTTTTAACAATCCTCTCCCTGTGAGCTAGTTTAAGAGGATTATTTATCCCATTGTGTTCTTGGAATCTCGGTTCTAATATAACCATTTAATTTAGTTGTGCACATAAAATCATAAAGTAAACAAGCAGGTAACATGGTATAGCTAATAATAGTCTTCTTTCTGCTTGATTCCTTTTCCAAAACTTATCACTCTTTCATCCTTAATGTTTTATATTAGGCTAGGGTGACAATGTTGTGCACAAATTAAGTTGAAATATAGAAGTACAAGAACAACATAATATATAGAGAGAGAAAATGATTTTTTTTTCATCTCTGTATCATGCTCAAAATATTAACCCAAAATTGTTTTGTGCTCTATCAAATGTCTTCAGATTAACATACAACACACTTTCCAAATAAAAGCCCACATCAACCATTTTATTACATTTATTATTGGTTAATTTCATTTTTATCAAAGTTACGTGCAATACAGATATGATAAGTATTTATAGTTGTTGAGAGTTTGAAAATATTTTATTTTTAAGAAGTTAGGATAGAATCAGGTCTAAATCTGTCTTTGGTTCTGATTTGATCTTTCCCTTGTTTTCTCTTATTTAATTTATTTTGTAATCTATTTGGCAAGAGAATATCTCTAATTGGTTCTGCCTTTGCCTCTGCCTATTTATTCTCTGTAGTTCTGTGATTAAATAATGAAGAAAGAAATCATTCTATGCTCCTAAACTAGAGTAGTTTTATTAGTTTAGCAGTAAGGATCATCAAAATCAATGTGTCACCGGATATATAAAGTTTAAAATATAACATGATATCTAGATTCTTCACTAAAGGTAGACTACATCAAGGAAAGAACATTTTTCTACATAAAGATAATATGCAAATAAACAAATCATCTGTTAGGAAACAACTTTCCCAAAAGCTTTTGTTAGGTGAAGACTTACACATGATTTTATATCTAATATGATCCCTCATTGCAGAAGCTTTTGGGTTTGAATTATAGATAATGCACAGACCAACATACATTTTATAGAAACTCAACTTTTATTTGGTACATAGGGATAACAAGGATCAAATCCTAGGCCACTTGGCAATTGGTCATAGACACTAATACCATGTCAAGAACCAACTCTCCCAAAAGAACCACTTGGCACATGGTCATCCAGAGTAACACAATTTGAAGAACCAATTCTCCCAAAAGATTTAAATTGTCAAATGAAGGCTCATGAACGGTTTTATATCTAATATAATCTTTTAAAGTATTTCACACATGTTGCAGGTCTTAAAATTTTGAAAATAAAACACATAAGAGCAGACCAAGCTGTTGTAAGTGAATGTTGAAGATGTCTCCAGCACATATTGATGAGGGGGTCCTAAGTGAATCTTTCAAAATTAGATTTTAAATTTCTTTTCTCTTGATAAATGTTAAATATTACAACTTATATTTTACTTATAAACACGCATTTAAGCAAAAGTGGGTGTAAAATACTCATCAAACAATTCAGACATGATATGACTTCTTTTGAGTGTACCAAAGCATCACAGATTCTTACCAATGGGATTTCAATTCCCATAAGCACTTGAACAAGCTCCTCAGAAACAAGTAATTTCCAAAGAACAGAACATAATGCTCGTGTTTGAGCAACCCGACGGCAGCAACCATTGTGAGCAGCTCTTCGCATCTGATTCCTCCACCTGCCACTTTGATTGGCTGCTGCAGCATCCTCTGAGGATAACCTCTTCTTTACCTCCTATATTATCAACCATAATTTGTTAACAGTTGTACTACACTGTCAAATCATCACACTTTCAGCCAAACACGTGGACATGTCTGTACACTCACATAACATTACAACTATTTACATTACCTTATCCAGGTTTGGATTAGAGCTCCTCTCTTCATCAGGCCAAAGAATCCAAGCCACAATGCACATATCAATTGCATCTTTCACATGGATAGGGGGCAATAACACATAAGAATTGTCTACAATTTCAAGGTCCATATTTTTTCCAAGAGCATCCAAGCAACCAAATCTCTGAACTGGAAATGCAGGCTTGCTCAGAACCTGAATCTGAATCTTCAAATTCCAGGTGAACTTTCTGACATTTCTTTTTCCTATTATTTTACTAATTCTGATCCATCTATATCTAGCTATCTCCAAATCTTGCTTAGAATTAGAAGATGAAATTTTCTTCTTATAACTGCCTGCACTGAACGATAAACAGTCATCTTTTCTATTGTCAGACTCAGACAATAAAATATCTCTGGGAAGATTAACATAGTACACAGGAGAGTTTTCCCAACAGACAGCTATGCCATGTACTTCGAAAGGGGCAGCAGAGTGCAATTCCAACCGTTTGATGTAATGGATATCAAAGTAGAACTCTGGCATAGTGTCCCACAGATCCAAAAATGAATCAAGTCCACCAGGACTACTAACCACATTAATGGGACCTTTCTGGCTGGAATTACCAGCATTACCACTAGTCTGATTTCCATTCATATGTTGTTCCTCTGTACAATGAGCCTGGCACCCATCATGTTCCCCATATTTATCATTTGGTTTCTGTAACTGAACAGCAAGGGTGGTCACATCTGGATTATTGGTATTGTCAAAATTCCCATTGGCCTCATCCTTTGTAGATCCTGAAATTGGAACAGTAGACAAGCTACATGGCATCCCACTGCTAGATTTTCCTTCTACAGAAGCCAGAGCAATATTATCAGATGATTTTACTAAGTCCTCTCTTTCTTTTTCTAAAGCGAACTTATTTGAATTACCAATGTGATTTGCATCAACGAGACTATGACTAGTGTCAGCTGTGTCACTTCCAGAAGTACTTCCAGCTTCTTGCCTGATAGAATCATGAGAAGCAGTAGACAACATGGGAGGAGCAAACGGTGGGACACTGTATCCAAGTGACTTAAAGGCTGAGAAAGCAGCAATCCTTGCCTCCTCCGCTTTATCAAGAACAATCTTGCGAGCACCATTCTTTATCTTTTTTGCTACACCAAATTGTAAGCTCCTTTGTGCAGAACCTTCCAAAGAAATAAAAAATCAACAATGAATGAAAAATGTATAGTAGCTTCACAGACTTGAAATTAAAATTTAATGTAATAAATTTAAGCATTAAAATGTACATAAGGAAAAACTTGGACAGATTAAAAGTACAGGACATTGGCAATGGTCTTTCACTTGAAAATATCCTCAAGGAAACAGTGAGAAAAAATGTAGCATCAAAGATTTTAATCAAGTTATCAGCTTCATAGCATATATAATTTCTATGAATAATAAACAATAAAACCTCAACCTACATCAAAATGTCAAACTTAAACCAAAAGAAAAAGATTCGGGCAACCTAATCACCTTCTGTGGCCCATGATGAAGATTCAAAAAGTGTTTTTACTATTTCAGGAATGGATGCTTCAGCAATTGCAAGAGGTGTACGTAAACCAGCTTTATAGAGTGCTCTGGCTCGAGAACCCTGCAAATCATATGACAGAAACAGGGCATAAGATTACTAGTACAAGCCAATAACAATAAAACATAAGTCGTGAAGGTATCATGGAACTTGAGTTTGCTTACTTTGACATAGGGAATGGTGGTAAGCTCCACAATCTCTGCTCTAACTCCAAACGATACACGGTTTTGAAACTTAGCAACTAAGCCTTCAAGATCATGCCACCCAAGCCTCTCACAAAACACAGCAACCATAGATGCAAACCTTCCAGCATTCTCTTGCAAGCCCTGAACCATTCCTCTGGCAACTTTAAATGCTTCACAAACTTCACCCACAGGAGTTTCCTTCATAAAATCACATTTATCCATAAAAGGCTGTAAGCTCTCTAGTGAAATTCCAAGGACTAGACAGAAAGGAAAAAAGAGAGATGAAGGTGGATCATTAAAGAATAAAAATAATTTACTGATGAGACTACTTGCTGACTGATCTTGTACCCCCTACTTATACAAATAAGTTAGGCCTAGTGATGGTGTAGTGCACTCAATAGTCACCACTAGCCCAGCTCAATTACACTGCCAACAGACACCAAAGTAGTCTAGCATAAGATGTCCTTATACTTCAATACAACATCAAAACTGAAGTACTAAACTTATATCATGTTGTAGATGTTGAATACTAGAGCTAATTATGTGCTAGGAGCCTTGTCATGTTAGTAGTTCTTCAAGTCTTCAACTGCTAGGATTACAAAAGCACTTCAACTAGACTATGAATATAATAGGAGAATTTGGAATATAAGTTATAAAACATCTATCATAATTACAAGAAGCATGTAACGAAATCCATGTGTTTGAATTACACAGCAGAGGCTCTATAACACACTAAGTCATAATTAGAAGAATCTCAAAATATTATAATATCTGAATTACTGTAACTACAAAAGATTATGAGCCTATTTACGTCCCCCCCCCCCCCCCCCCAAAAAAAACCCTCACAGTACTATTTATAAGGACCTTTCAGCCAAATCAGGCAGATTAAAAAAATTGGTTATAATTAGTTAATGTATTAGTTTTAGAAAAAATATAAGAAAAAAATAATAAATGCTTCTAAAACTTTGTAAAGAATCTTGTCTTAAAAACCATCAAAAGTTTCTAGAAGGGGTCTTATAAATAGGACCAGAAGGCATACATTATTTACATATGCTCCAACAAGATATAATATTATTGAGAGTCAATCTCTTTTCCACTTGCTTCTCTCTTTTCTGCCAAATTCAAATAATTGTAACACTAATAAACGCAAATAACAAAAGAACACAACTTCAAAACATAATTGATACATAAATTACTGCTGCTAATGGGCTTAAAACAATGGCTTGCAACTGCAATCAAACATAAAGCAAACACTCTGGAAAGGCAACATAATAAGAAGCTAGCTAGATTGATGCACAGCTAGAAGAGCAGGGTGAAAAGGCAGAAAAGCAGAGGAAATATCAACTCTGCTGAAAGATACAAAGCAGGAATGCAAAAGCAATGCAGCAAAAAAACACACCAGGAAAGTGACATATTTCCCTGGCAATAACTGTATACAAGACCTGAAGTGAAGATCAAACATCTTCAAAATATCTATTTGGAAAGTGGAAACCTCAAACAGAATCAATAACTTCAAAATTGAGATCGAGAGACCCTAAGGAAAATGGAAACACATGTGAATTATAAAACACAAAGCCTGCTCAAAAACAGATCTATTAAAGGTGGCCAAACTAATTCACACCATCAGCTTGGATATCTCAACTCAGAAGTAAATGGCTATGTCTCAGAGCTCAAATGAAGCCAGCTGCATGTGGAGACATTTTTACCAACAGTTATTCCACTTACAACCTAATCAGCAACTTTTGGACATGATGACAAATTTCTTTTCAAAATGGCAACCAGAAGAGAGTTAAACATAGTTGGCCATCAAGAGAGGGATTCTTCCCCATCATATAACAATATTAGTCTAGCCTTTGATAACGAAGATACAAGAATATGACAGACCATCAAAATTTGAGGTTTCTGGTGCCAAAAGCTTTGCCAAGTATGTGGTAAAAAAATGAATAGATTGCTGGACCATTCTAGAAAATTGCAACCAAGACACTAGCTGCAATTTCAGAGAGCAGTTACTGAAAATTAAGGGGAAAAGGGGAAATTGGTTCTGGGATTGGAGCATTCGAAATTCTAGATAGTGGATCTATATACAGAGTAAAAATAAAAATACAATTAAGTTCCATTTGCTGAGAAAACTCTGCATAGTGGAGCCAGATACAGGTTACAAAGGATCAAATGGCTCTGATTTCATATTGAAGTGTTATGGAATAAATGGAAAGGGAAAAGTATAAGAGACTCGAAATCCATATAATTATGATAGAAATTGTTGTCCTAATACCATTATTTACGAAGACTAATTAGGTCATGCAATAGTGTAATCCAACTAGTACAACTGCAGCTTAATAACACTCACCTTGTACTAACTAGTAAGACAACACAAACTAACTTTTTTCTTTTTCATGAAAGAAGAAATTAATCAAGAAGGTGAAGATAGTTATAATGAAACCGCAGGATGAGAAATCCTTCTTAGCATAAATGGAAAACACAAACATCAAATAAAACAGGAAACATCAATGGAGCATAGTTGTCCAATCGCTCAGCATATCTGTTGGGGAATCTCTTGTAAAAAGACCATGTGCTTTATATCCAATAGAAGCAAAATGCTTATCCCAAAGCACCTGATGTGCATGTGCCAAAGAAACTTCCTAAAATACGTGAGCTATGCTCCAACCATATGCACCAAATTGTAGCATAGATTGCCTATTTGCCACTAAAATTTTACTATTTCTAACAAAACCGTTATGGTAATCACTAAAAATAGACCAACAGAAGGCTTAACATTCATCAAAAAGTTCACACAAAGAATATATGTAACAAAGGCTACTCAAATATAATAATAAAACAAAAGAAAAGGAAAAAAAAAAAACTAACTAGAAGCCAATAGGTGATCACAATAAGAGGTCAACAATAAAAGCAAGCAGTAGTAGAGAAAATTCTGAATTTATGGTTAAAAAATAATTTGAAACACCCTATGGATAACACACTAAATATGTGAGCACTAAAAAAATTAAGGAAAACAAAAGGAAGTTGGAGAATTGAAAGATGAAAAAATGTAACTAAATTCCCTTCATTTTCTACAAGACATAAGTTTAGAGGGCCCACCTAGCAGTATATGAGGCAACATGTTAAGGCAGTGTCCTTTACATGTCCCATTCTTTCGTCTCTAGTGATATTCTTTTATTTAAAAAATCTTTTAGTAGAATTATTAGAGTCCATGCAATAGAGAAAAGCACCTGAACCAAAAGTGACAAAATGAGAGCAACATAGAATCTTCTACAGACACGCAGTGTTTGATCATCAGAGTTAACTGTTGCATTGGAAATCCCAAGTTGATTTCTTTGTTGATTGTGCAACGATCTTGTATTATCTCTTGACTTGTTTGAAGCACGTATTGGTGCGCCATGTGCCATACGCATCAAGAATGGTTCTGTCACACCTACTCGATTACCAACCGACTGCAAGCATATGAAGATTATTAATATTTACAAATATGCTTAGATCTTGTAGTAGAAAAATATCTTTCCCTTTATATATTATGGATTATGTTTCTAATATAACTGTATTTCTTCCAGCAAAAATTAATGACATATCATGTATACTATGCAACATAAGATAGGTGGTAGTAAATATCTAATGAACTCCAAGAAGGTTTAATGACATCTCTTGCCAAAAGGAAAGGGTAAATTCTGATTAACATAAACCAACCTGGTCAAGAGGAGACAATTTCACAAAATGTTCGTAGTACAATTCCCAATCAGGCTCAACATCAACATTGATTGGTGTCACCAAATAAACTAAATGCAAGTCAGATGCAAGTACAAATCCTTCCCTTGCCCTTGAAAGATCAGCTAGCACAACCTGAGAAATCAAGTAGATAACATGACTATATACTACTTGAAATTACCTACCCAATTTTAAACCCACCTACGGACAATCAAAACTAAACAAACAGGAAAAGCCAGACTGAGATAAAATCAAAGCAAATTAAGGGGAAAAAAGGGCAATGGCAGTGAATCAAAGTAGAAAGAGAAACATTTACAAGTGATTCTTCAGGACAGAGAGAACTTCCAAAAGCTGCACGCCCAAGAGGTGTGGTACTGTAGAGTTTAGTGTCTTCATTCCATTCAAGAAATTTTCTTTTGCACAACCATCGAAGGGATTCTTGCGCAGATTTCACCACATCTAGAAATGGCTTTGTTGAATTCAAAAGAGTACATCTAACATACCGGTGAATATCACTAGCACTTTGAACTATTCCTCCAGCCACTACTTCTAAGATTGCATGAGTCATTCCATTCATATCTTCTGCTAAACAGGAATTTAATGGAGGACAGCTTTCATTAAGAAGTCCCGTAACTTTTTTTATCTCTTCTGGTTTGCAGATAAGTATCTGTGTCAGTCAAAAGAACACACAACTCAGACCTAATTAATTAAAATTTAAACAACAAAGCAGTCAATGTCACATAGATATTCCCAAACAATTTATGTATCTATGTAAAAAAGAAAAATGAGAGTGGAAAAAATAAGTCAAACATAAAAGGGATTATAAAAAAGAGTAGTATACATGCTTACGCTTAGAAACACCCCACATCAATCAGCATATGAAAGAACCATGTACACACTACACCATATAATAGTTTAAACTCAAAAGCATGATAGAAAAAGCCATACACTTTCTCCTTTTGTATCAATCCCAGTTCGACCAGCACGACCAGCCATCTGTTTGTACCTTGTCCCATCTATAAAATTGCAACCAATTCTAGGTTGGCGGAAAATTACCCTCCTAGCTGGCAGATTTACCCCAGCTGCTAAGGTTGATGTAGCAGTTAAGACACGTAAAAGGCCTTTCCGATAACAGGTTTCAACAATCTCTCGTTCCTCAACCTATGAAACAGCAAAAATGACTTAGGCCTTGAAGGTAGGTTAAATAAACATAGTATTTTCATTAGCTATATAAATTGATGATCAAATATGAACTTCTACCCCAAAAGAAAAGTTTGTAATAATAGTATTAGACAAAGCAATGACACCAGAAATAAAGGAAATGGCAGGTTACCGTAAGGCCAGCATGGTGAAAAGCAACACCAGAAGGAAGAGTTTCCTCTAATATGGGATCCAACCCAGCAGGGCACTTTCTCAAGGCGTTAATAGCAGAAGTAATATCAGCAAACTCACAATCATTATCATTAGCATCAACAGTAAAGCTTTTAAGGAACTTTGCAACATGCCTTGCAGTTGATTCACAACCCTTCCGGCTAGAGCAAAATATTAACACTGATTGTCCCTCTTGAACAACCTGGAAAGCATATCAGTTGTTCATAATTATTTAGCTCTCAGTATTACAAGGTGTAGAAATCTAGAGCACCTACCTCATCGCATAATTCAACAACATGATCTGGATCTTTACTACCAAGGTTAGCTGCTTTTGAGATTGTTCTAGAGAGCTCCATATTCTTGTTATAAATGGAATTACCAACTTTTATATATTCTTCTAGAGGAACTGGCCGGAACTCTGTCTGGTATAATGCTGCCTTAATGCAAATTTGGGACAAACAGATTTATAAGATATAACATCAGAAAAGAAAGTATTTATAAAAATGTGGCAATGTGAAATATGCCGGCAATAAATAGTCATCAATTTGGAACTAAAAACCAAGAGATAATATTCAAAAGAGAACATCAGATATTGGAAGAAGTAAATGAATTTACAATATACAAAACATGGCATCGTCTATTTCCAGCCATCCTTGACATTTCTGACCACTGACCATGACTTACATATCTCTGCTCCTCCTTTCATAGCTTAGTCTTTGTTTACACTTCACATCTTGCAATTGTCTATCGTTTTTTGTATGTGCAAAGAAGGTTATTAGAGGCACCAATGAGGAGGATGGAATGGATAACATAGTTTTTAGCTCTATGAAAAGGGGTAGAGGAAGGTTAAAAAGAACTTGGAAGTGTTAATCAGGAAATCCATTATAATTCTTTCCTAATATATGTTGTATCAATGGAAGCAGCCAATTACTTTCATATATTTAGAATCAATTTGTCAGCCCACTAACCAGCCTATAAATTAGGAATTAGAATTAATTTGTAATCATTAGCTGTAAATGAAACTCTGCCTATGGCCCCATAGCCAGTCTCGAACCCGGGTAAAAGAGGAGAGTTGTGTTAAGCCTTTGGCAACTAATGTCAAACTTTTCAAAACCTTTTATGTGGATTATACACAACGATATTGTGATACAGCTAGGTTGTTACCCAAAAATAACGCACTGTATGGCTTGAGTACAATGTCAAATGAGATAGAGTTGCTGCATTGGTGCCAGAATGTGGTGTTAAATGAGTAACAATCCTCATATTTAGCTGGACAAATTTGGGTAAAGAAGTTTATCCAATAACACGTGTTTAGGTTTGGTTAATGGAATATTGGTACTTCGACAGGAAAATCATTGGAAGTGTTGGACGCTATGATTTGTAGAAATATTAACATCATGTGTCTTCAAGAAACAAAATGAGTTGGAAATAAGGCTAAGAAGTTTGATACTACAGGTTTTAAACTTTGGTACAGAAGAAAAGTTAAGGAAAAGAACAGAGTAGACATAATTGTGGATAATACTTAGAAAAAGAACTTAATAGAGATCAAAAGCATTGGAAATAGGATCATGTCCTTGAAGTTATTGGTTGCAAAGATACTATTAATATCATCAATGTTTATGCTCCACAAGTTGACTTGGAAGACATTTGAAAGCAAAGTTTTGGGAGGATTTAGAACGGTCGATTAAGACATTCTACAAACTGAAAATTTTCATAGGTAGAGACTTTAATGGACATGTTGGTTGTGAACCAAGACACTTTGCAAAGGCTCATGATGGTTTTAGTTTTGGAGAGTTAAATGAAGGACAATTTATCCTTAATTTCTCAATGTCCTATGACTTTAAGATTATGAACACATGTTTTAAGAAAGTAGAACATCTTATCACTTTTAAGAGAGGAGTTTCAAGGTAGCAAATCAATTTTTTCCTAGTGAGAATCTAAACAAAGGAATTTGCAAGGATTATAAAGTAATTCCATGAAAGAGCCTTACTACACAACATAGGATCTTGGTTCTTGATGTTCCCTTTAAAACTAGTAAACAAAGAATTCAACAAATTAGTATTCTAAGAATTAAGTAGTGACTAGTTAGAGGGTGAGAAACAGTTGAACTTTCCGAAGAACTTAGTAGAAGAGGGTAGTTTGGTAACACAAGGTAGTGCTAACATCATTTGGAACAATATGGCTACAAAGGTCAAGAAAAATTGGCAAGAAAATTTTAGATGAATCTAGAAGTTTTAGATTAAAAGACAAAGAATTATGGTGGTGGAATGAAAGTGTGCAAGAGAAGATTAGAGAGAAGAGGATGTATATTAAAACTTTGCATAAAATTGGGCAAAGTATCAAAAGGTAAGAAATGAGACAAGAAAAATAGCCAGTAAAACACGTTTTAAGGCTTTTGAAAAGTTTTATCAAGATCTTTCGACAACGTATGGTGAAAGGAATATTTATAAACTTGCCAAAAGTAGAGAAAGATAATCTAGAGATTTGGAACAAATTAGATGTATTAAGGATGAAAAAGAAAAAAATTTGGTTTTAGATCAAGACATCAAAGATAAATAGAAGAAATACTTCTATAAATATTTTAATTTAAGACAAGAAGCAAATGGAAATTTAACAAGATTAAAAGTGAAAAGAAATAATTTAAATTTAGCATATCATAGAATTTGAGTTGGAAAAGTAAATAAAGTTCTCAAGAGGATGGAGAATAGTAAAGCGATTGGCCCAATAATATCCCTATAGAAGTTTGGAAAAATAAAGTCTTGGGGAGGGGGAAGGGTTGGCGGTGGGGTAGTGGGAAAAGGGAAGAAGAAAGAGAAGAGACTTTTGTGCAAATATTTAAAATGTGATCAGAAATTTATTTACAAATATTAATTTTAAATAATAAAATACTATAAAATTAAATAACATAATATGTCACAAGAAGTACTGAGTTGGCTTTCCATCAATCAATTCATTATTCAGTAAAAAGAAATTAATATTAGAGACTAAATCATAACTTATGAATACTTTAAGAACTAAATCTTAACAAAAAAATTTATAAGAACTTATCGCAAAATATGTTATATTTATAGAGACCAATCACATATTTAAGCTTAAATAATATCTCTAAATATTTGATTTTTTATTTGACCAAATTAATTGGCATCAAATGATCCATGCAGTCAGTCAACTTCACTTAATAGGATAATTTTTTTGCTTTCTTTGTTGTCATAATTCTACAAAATAGTGAAGAAATTAATAAAGATATTACACACAGAATACAAGGCAAGTGGTAAAAATAAAGAAAGGTATTAGAAGTTATTTGTGACTATAAAGTACCTATTTAACTTTTAAAAAAAAAATTGTATTGTACAGTTATACAACTAATGATCTTTTATGGTAATAAATGTTGAGCTTTAAAAAATAATACCAAAAAAGTAAAAATTACAAAACTGAAAATGTTAAAATGTATAAGTGATAATATAAAAAAAATAGGACAAAAAATCATTGTATACAATAAAATATTAGAATAGTACCTATTGAGATTTTTGAAAAATCATTTAAGGTATTTCGAAAACATGCAAAGAAAGTCATTGGAATCACCAATGAAGAATAAATGGCATGACTTTTAGTCCGATGAAGATGAGCAGAAGACCTAAAAGAACTTTGTAGAAAAGAAAAATGTAAGCAACATGCTTTTATTTATTGATTAATTTAAAAAAACAAAAATTATGTAAGTCTCACTCCTATTTTATTATTTCTCTCTCATGTTTTTTCTGTTCTTAATATATCTTTTGCTAATAACTAGGAGTATGTTAAACAGTGTGTATGAGAATATGTTCTATTGTAGAAAATTATTAAAAAATATCTCATGATAAATAACATTGGAATATTTTATTTTTCATCAAAATAGCATTATGGGGTCCATGTAGCTAACCTCATCTAATATAATAAGATTTTGTTGTTGTTGTTGTGTGTATCTATTCATTTGAATTTCATCCTACTTTACAAGTCAAAGTTCTTTTTCTCTATTTAGTTCATTTTTCTTCCTTTGGACATCACATGTCTGTTTTTCTTCATTCTTACATCATAATTCGCATTCTCCTAATTTTAATCTGATATTTTTTTTCTATGATTTTCACCATAATCTCTCATTTTAACTCCATTCATATGTTTTTATCGCTCCTATATTAATGGTGATTATGTGTGTAGATTTGATTTATGATTTATTATGAATTTCTTTCTTTAAAGAATCTTTTATTTTTGGATATTTATATGTGTAGTATAAATTATTTAGTATTTATTTGATTCAACTTATTTTGAAAGAAATATTCTTAGTTTTGTTATCTTCCTAAGAGCACTTTAGAAAAAATAAGTGACTATTTTTCTAATTTTCAAGTGTTTCCAAACATGCACTTAGTTCGTATTTTAGTGTTTGCAACAGTCATTCAATTATTAATTATACTGCTACAGCATTTTTGAAGCTAGCCACTATCCTGATTGATAACCATGCAACTTCTGAGTACATCACTTTCCCATATCTTCTCATTCTCTACCATCTATAAACCTAAGTAAATCCCTTGTCATTGAAATTGGTTTTCTAGTAACCAACAAGTGGTTGGTTCGGGTGGTACATGGATGACTTCCCTTGAGCAAATTCAAGGATCATGTATGGAAAAAATAACTCCACTTGGAAAGCTAGCTCCACTATACTACGGATATTGTGGCTGAACAGGGTTGATTCGTCTGGAGAATACCTATGATGAATTGATCATTGAACAAAACAATGGCTTTTCTAGTAAAAATTATGAAGTACAAGATGGATAGTTCAACTAGGATTTCCAAAAGCTGATATTCTGCTATGTCTGGTTAATGTTCATTTGCATTTAGAGTTTTTTAAATGAAAGGTGCAATTCAGAGTACTAAACATGCATTATGCAACTAAAATACCAAACTTTTGGTGGATTTAGGTCTTTTAAAGGATAAATACCAACATTAAGTAGAAATTATTCAGATTAAGTTTTGGCAGATTGAAGTAATTATACTACCAAAAGTCACAACAAAACTAGACAGTAGGTTAAGAGGAAGCTCAAAAACTGTTGTATGTGCATAAGTGATGATGTGCTTGTAATTATGCTTACTTGAAGCCAGTCAGCAACTGCTGCCACATTTGGCATAGTTGCACTCATTCCAACAATTTGCAGACCTTGTGCAGGATCAGCCTTATCACTGCTTCCACCTGAACTTTCTCCATCACTTGATTTTGAAATACCCTCCCCTGCTGCATAACGAAGCTTGGTCAACATAAGTTCTAGAAGATAGCCCCTACTTGCATCACCAACCTGTTAAGAGATTTAGACAATAATAAACCATGAAAACAATCCAAGTGTGCCATTCGCTGTTCAGCTTTCATAATAGTCCAACATAAAAATACAGGAGAAAGCACTGTGTAACAGAATTCATGACAAATAACTATAGAAGTAATAATTGATGATACCATATGCAGTTCATCAATCACAATAATTCCCATTTCTGACAGACGACCCTCTTCCAATAATCTATTAATTAACGAGTTTGCCTTCTCTATTGTGCAGACAGCTACAGAAGTATCTTTAGGAAGTGTTCCACCACCTTGGTTTCCATAATAACTACGAACATGTTTACCAAGTGGTTCAAGAAGACGTTCAATGTGTTCTGCCTACATGGATCAAACGGAAAATAAAAAGTAAGAATATTATGTAAATTCAAAATTTTGAAGTATTTCAACGCCAAATCCCTTAAACAACATCAACAAGAACACAGCCCAAAATGTAATGTTTAAATTTTGACAAGGGGATGTAAAAAGAGCACCTTTTCTGCACAAATTGATACATATGGTAGAACAAGTAGAGCCATTTTTCCAGTTGTTAGCACCCTCCGCAGCATTAAAATCTCAGCAACAAAACTCTTACCAGCACTGTGGCAACATGAAAAATATTTAATACATGCCTTTCTCAAATAGAAGACAGACAGGTAGCACAAGGACATAAAGAAAGAACAGCAAGTGAAATAAAATGACAAAGGAAAAGAAAAAGTGGCTGGAGAATCACAACAAGAAGTGCTAAACACAATGAACAGCTTGCAGCAGAATGCCAAAGAAACAGCATAAAAAATTCAGCAATATAAGACAAAATAAAATCATTAATGGATTCAATAAGATGAGAGGTTTGGTACAAGAAAAGAAGTGTGAAATTAAACAATGAAGCTCTACACTAATTTATTAATGGTCATTGCCAAAACTGAGACTGGGGCATTCTCTCTAAATGAAATCTTTACTGAGGAAAACAAACTTCATCATGCACAAGTCCACCTTTGATGAGAAAAGACAACCCTAACTAAAACCATCCCCTCCCTAAATTTGTATCCCACCTCACGTAATTCTTTAACCTTGATATAAATGAATAGGACAAAAATATAACATATGGTATACAATAGTTGCCATAACAAAAGAGAATACCTCGTAGAAGCACAATAAACAAGATTTCTTCTCTGTAGGACACCATTCACCCGAAGGCAGTCAACCTAAAAGTGGAAAAAAAAAATTAAAACCCCTATTAAACTTATGTCAGAAACTATGAGATTTTAAAATAAATCATTTTAAAAAACCTTCTCAGTTATCACTAATGTTATACTCCACGGCTAAGGTGCAACAAGAAGAATTCCAGACCAAAAAAGGATATAATAAAATTGAGGACCAATTCAACAAAAAAGCCACAAGTTTTGAAAATAAAAAAAGAAATTAAACTAAATTAGTAGGAAGAAAAAGTAGCAGCCATGATTAACAAAAGAATTTAGTCAGTCATATAGACAGAACATAGTAAAACCCTATAATGATTAAATGACAAAAGAAGCATCTTCAGAACAAATGTCACTGCACCTGCCAATTGTAAAGCTTTGAGATTCCTTTCTTTCTATATATGCTGCATATTTCAGGTGGAAGCCAGCTATTTAGGTCTAGATGATCATTAAGCGATACCCTACTTGAAGGAGTACTACCTTCTTCAGATGTATGAGCACTAATCACTGTTCTGACCTCATGCTGGGGTGAATTAGATGTCAAACTAACATTACCCTGACTCACTCTTTTGCCTAATTCATCTACCAAAGTCTTCTCTTGCACTTCGTTCATCTTTTCATATGTATGACCTGCTATAGAACAAGATTCATACTGTTTACCAGCATAAGTAACATTGATCGGATCAACAACATGACAATTTTGTATATTATTTTCGACCAAATTATTGTCCTCAAGCGAAAAATCAAAATGCTTAACCGGAAGGCTGGATGCTTCTTTCACAGAATCTTTTGTATGCATCCCAACTAACCCTAAAGAAGTACCCATGTCCCTGTTCCAGATTCTGGTTTTACTTTGATCCAATATTTTTCTTGGCTTGCCATCACGGTTTTGTAAATTGCATGAGTTCTTCACCTCAAGTTCATCTTCCACCACATTACTTTCTTCTACAACATTAGAATCATCATTAGCTACAGGAACAGACAAACCATCAGCAAGTTGAATCGCTTCATTCCAAAATGCTTCTCCAGGCGAAAACATCGAACTGCCACGTGTTGACTTTGGAGTCTCCTTAACACATGCTTTAACAATCAAAGATCCCGGCGTATAGCACTCAGCCATGTTCATAGAAGATTTAGGAGTATTACTGCATTTTCGGAAGCTTGCCTCCGGGGCAATAGCATCACCACCACAAGAAACCTGCCACTCAGAAGCCAAAGCATCAAAATAACAAAACATACACCAAAAATTGAAGTAAGAACCTAGCTACAAAGTCCAAACCAGTACCATTTCAGGCTTAACCTTCGTAGAAGAGCCAACAACATATGGCAAAGTATTACCAACAACACCAGACTTGACATCCTCAGGGATCTTTTCACTCGACGATCCCTTTCCACCATCAAAACATGGCTCACCAGCAGTCTCATCGCGCTTCGTCAGTACACAACTGTTTTCCTCTACCGAAGTCACAGAACCATGTCTCACGCAGTCATCCATTTTCATCTCAGGTGAATCCATGCTACGGTGCAATTCACTGTATCACCATAATTCCAAAATTAAATAAACAAAACAGAATAAAGTTCCAAATCACACATCTCATTGATATTCAAAAGAGATACAACTTTTCCAAACAGACAGAGTAAAAGTACCCGCAATACAGAGACAAAAAATCCACTTTAAACCGTTTCAGCTCCGAGTTCCCCACACCCTTTCCAAACTCGCTGCAACTGTTTTCCTTGACATGATCCTCAACCAGCTCGTTAATTTCATTGCCAAGGGAACCATCACCATCAATCTGTGATGCTAAATTTCTCTTAACCGAATCGAGCCGAGCCGAATGAGCGGTGGCGACAGCATTCGACACCCCGGCGTCGCCGTCGCGGCCACCACAACAATCCTGCGACGTGACCAAGTAACTCTCCAAAGTGCCTTTGGCACTCGGAGACAAATCAACCACATTCCTTGCACCCTTTTCGGATCTCCCAGCTTTAGAAAGAGGTGAAACGGCTTTCCTTTTCTTCGAAGCATAAAACTGCACGCACAATGACACAAAGTGAGGAAATCGTAGGTCAATTAAGCAACGATAATCAAGAACTGTTACATTAAATTATTGATTTCGATTCTATGTTGTGAAGCGAATTTGGAGGAGCGTGGGAAGGAAATGTGAGAGGGAAAGACGTCGTATAGGGTTGCGGAAGTGAACCTGATTGATGCGGTTGCGAGGGGAATCAGAAGCCATGGTGTGCACTGTGCAGAGTGAAGAAGGTGTGGCACTACCCGCGAGAATCATGCCAACGACGTCGTAGAATGATTGGAAGCCTCCATGAGGAGCGCCGACTTGAAAAAGAGTGGACGAACCGCCGAAGTGGTGTATGCTATTGAAGTGGCGCTGAAACTGACTGCAAATTGAAATTGAAATTGGAATTTCCGGGAATACACGTGTTTGGTTACCAGATAATCCTATTTCCATTTTTTTTGTTCCACGTTTGAATTTTTACGTTTCGTTAAAAAAAAAAAATGTCATATTGGGCTTCAGCCCCTTTGTTAAAAAAAATAAATCATATTATGATTTCAAGTCTGTACAATAATTTAGATAAAAAAAATTTAATAGTATATTTAAAAGTATAATAATATGGAAGTTTAATAATAATTAAAAATAATTTAAATACCTTCAATTGATTTTATTATTTCATAAATCATTGTTGAAAATCAAATAATTTATTAATTTAGTTTAGTTTAATATAAATTTCAAATTTTACATAAAAAATAAGAAAATATGTGAGGATTAAAACTAAAAAACAATATATAACTATTTTATATATTCTAATATCATAAATTATGTTAACTCAATTTTAAATGTATTAATTTGATCTAACTTTATTTTTTATTTTAAATTTATTCTCTAACTTAATTCTTTAAATTCTTTAATTTTTATATTTATTTTAAGTTAGTTCTTTAATTATTACACTTAAAAGTGTGATTAGATAATTATTTACTTAAGTATTTATTTATTGAGTTATTTTCAAAACAATAATTTATGTTTAATAATAAAATTTATTGAAATAAGTTAAAAAAATGATTTATTTTGATAAGTTATACAAATAAATATATTGACATAATTGAAAATAGTTGAGATTCATAAATTTTTTATATAAACTTTTTTAAATAGGTTTGTTGAAATTATATTATAAATTAAATTATTTATTAATAATTGATAAAATTGAATGAAAAGAGTCTCTAAACATAGTTAAAATAAATATATAAAACATTTGAATATTAGTGAAAATAAAATATTATAGTAAAGATTAGTGCCATTTTAATCAAATCTCAATTTGAACATTATTTTTTTATGATTATTAAAATTGATTAAAAAGTTGTCCTACCGTTGAGTTACAAGTAATGTATCAAATAGTTGAATGATTTCATTGAATAAAATAAGAGATTGAATAAGGTCATTATTCTTTAAAATTCATTTTGTTTTAATAATGATTAATTAATTTATTTTATTTGTATTTATTTTTAACTTATAATATTTATTTTAAAAAATAGTTTAAATGATATTTTAGTCTTTATATTATATTTCTTTTTCTAAGTTAGTTACTATATGTAAAAAAATTGTATATTAATAATTATACATACATCTATTTTTTTTTCATCTCTATTATTACATTTAGTTAAAACGATGTTCACTAACAATGATCTCACATGTCGTATAAGTGCAATATGTTAAGTTATTATTAATAAGGAGACAACTCAATTGTCATGACAACATTATTGTAAAAAAAATCATAAATTAGATTGTGGTCACTTGTTTTCATCATTTTCACTACAACAAAGCAAGAAATGGAGCTAATTGTAACAAGCATTTCTACCTCGAGCAAGAGGAATGAAGTGTCATTATGTGATTGTGGAAGTTAGGTGAAGCTTTACACATCTTGAACTCCTCAAAATCCAAATAAAAGGCTTTGTAGGTGATGACAATCACAATCTGTGTTGACAAATTAAACTATTTTAAATTAAATTTCACATAATTAAAAATAAAATTATTAAGGCAAAAAAATAGGAATTGAAACAAGAAGAAAAATTAATATATGTGGAAATATGATAGAGATCGAGAATGCCTCCACAATCGCAAGATTGATAAGAAGAAACGATCGCCACAAAAGTCTTGACTTCTTGATATAATCAAAGAAAATTGGCTTACTCAAGTGTTTACAATAACTTATATATGTCTAATGCTTGTAAACCAATACTAACACAAATTCTAATGGGCTTCTTGAACTAACAAGCCTAAATTCAAATAAACTAAATAAAATAACAAGATTTTATCCTAAATAAAAACTCAAAATAAATAATGACTAATATTAAAATAAATAAATTAAACATAATATTAAATCTTAATAAAACTCATAGTGTCCAAATTCTCTAAGCATATATTATTGACCATCTTGAGCTTCTCTAAGTCCAAATTAAGCTATCTTTTAAATAGGATAACAACTATCTTTTCTAAGTTTCTATTTATTCTCTTTGTCTTTACTCTTGTCATTAGTTCTTACAGTCTTTCCAATACCTTTGAGTCTTTGTCTTTAATGGGTATTTTTTATTCTCATCAGTAAGTGTTTGATTTTTAGAGTAAGTTATAATTTTAATTTGTCATTTTATTTTGCTATGGTTTTATCATCTTGTTCTGCTATGATTTTTTTATAACTTGTTTTATTTTGTTCATGTAGGAGGAATGGAGTTGCAATTTTTCTCAATGGATGGATGAACCATTTCTAATCATGTAATGGAAACAATTAATAAATAACAACATAATTTATAGAAATAAGAAAATCATTATACAAGTTGTACTGGATAAGGCACTACTCAGTCCTACTAATAGAAAAAGGAAACCGAATACCCCTTCGACCTAAATAGCCGAATACCCTCTCGGTCAGGTTAAAAGGTAATCAACTCAATTAAGGGTAATAATTAGACCATTATCTACTCTAAAAGGAAGGTAGGAAGTACAGGTAAGGGGTTGACTTTTAAATATTAAATAACATTTATTGCCTAAATCGATACCTGACTTTATCATTGGAGTGTCTTTTGCAAGTACACTCCCACATCAGATCATGTCAGCAGTGTCAGGAAAGACGTCATATTATCCCTGAAGAGATAAGAAGAACTATGTTTCCCTAGCAAAAACACAAGCATAAGATGATAACAATATTTTTAGGATGCATTATAGTAATGACAGTGTTTAGTTTATGATTCTGCATAATTTATGTAATTTGAAACTTGTAGTTTGAAATTTAAAGTATGCATTAATAAGGTAAAGTAAAACTAGACAATAGTTGCCTTTAAATGTATGTATGTGAGTAGGATTCAAATTGTAGTAAAGTGTGAGATTAAATGTGGTATAACACTTTACTATTTCAAATGTACAATGTACGTTCCTATGTTATGAAAGTATAACTTTTAACTTGAAGAGCAAATTGATTAAAATGGTAAAGTATAACCAAACAAATATTATGTGGCAACAAGGATAATTACTTAAAATACATATATAATAACACAGCACATTCAAATTATCATCAACACACTATGGCTAAAAAAAAACTTTAAAACATTCACACTAGAAGGTAAAAAAAAATATAGATAAAAGTCTTGCATCTACTAAAACAAGGTTGAATTTCATGTTTTCTTCGCAATCAATTAGAATTCTGGGCTTGGAATAACTTGTTGCATCACTTGCCTAACAGAAGCTTGAAGTTGGTTATGTATTAAACACAACTATCCTCTCCATTTGAATAAGGCTTTGTACATGGGGAGTTTGGTCTTAAAAATGGTAGGTAGATGAGCAAATCCAGTAGTCGTAGAAGATAATCCAACAACTATGGTTTGTTGTACAATTATTGTTGAAGTAGTAGTTGGTGTAGATTTGACAAATATAGATCTAATAGATGCTTGTAATGTAGATCCAATTTTCTTTGCTTTTTTTTACGATGGTGATCTTCCTGCCTATAAATACCCCAAAGTGTCATTTTACAGATGACGACTTTTTCCACCCAGATACCGCACCTAAAACTCTCTGCACGCTGAAACCCTGCACCGCGCTAGATACTAGCTACAAGGAGACTCATGGTGGCCGCTGTCCGCTGTTATGAGGAATCGTACGTTTACATTCACGCACCTTTACATTCCTGCACATTTACCTTTCTGCATTTTAATTCCAGCTTGTTGTTTATTTCGTTTCTGCAATTTGTTTCCTATTTTGCACTTTTCTATAAAGAACCTCTATGTTGTGATTCCGTTTTATGCGTTTCATATTCATTATTCCTAGGTCCATTTTATTGTCTCGTTAACAACACATTCAAAGAACTCAAAGAGGACCTAATCTAGTCTCCAGATTGATCTTTGGATTATTTGTTTACAAAATTGTCATTTTTCACCGTAAACAAATTGGCATGCCCAGTGGGACTATATTTAGTGTGTTTTTGAATAATTGATTAATTGCTTTGTTGCATGATATTACTTAACGGACATTGTATTATGGCTAATAGAGGAAGAAATAGTGATTATAGTTCTGGAAATGGCAATTCTAGAAGTGACGGTAGTGATACCAACTCAGATAATGTAAGTGGCGGTGCTAACACTGCCGCACAACCCACATCAACGACGGTGTTACCTATGCTGTCATCTCCTGTAGTTAGCCAATTTATGGCTACTATACCAACCAATCCCAGCATAAATCTTGGCCCAAGGCCAAGGTTGGGTGATCATCAATTTGGCTTACTTCCTGTATGTATGCCGCCTATCTCTACAATACCAACCTACTCCAACCCTGTGGTGACAACCGTGTCATCCCAGAGTCACACTATTCCACCGGGAATGGGTGTGTTTCATATCATTCCACCGGGAATAGGTACGATTGGTGGAGTACCTGGAACACAATTTGCGTTCGGAGCTTCGAGCGGGGATTCACTTCCTGCTAGCTCGTTTTCGAATGTTGCCTTACATTCCATAAGGTAATAAATGGATGAAAGCAATCACGAGATGGTCAATATGTTGACCCATCAGATGACCACTGTGTTGAATCCCATAGTGAAAACGACTAATACCAGCTATCAAGTTTTGGCTGAACAAATGCGTCGAATTGCTGACGTTTTTAGGACACCTCAAGTCCCTATAAGGCAAGGGCAAAATGTTGCCCAAACGCCTAATCGAAATGCCACAAATCTTGGTCAAAATGGTCAAGTTTTCGAGCAAAATGGTCCAAATTTTGGTCCAAATCTTCCGAGACA